AACTCTGTGTATTTTCGTAGAAAACACTGTCGAACTATGAGGTGGTATATCGGACTGGTAGCCGTAGCAAGGGAATTCGAACTTCGCGCGGAGGTCTCTCTGAGTCAGCGTCGTCTGCTATTAAAGGATAGCGAAAGAAAATTGAGGGCGCGCTACTTCCTTAAGCCGTAACGCATTAGTAGAAACTGCCGTGTGCAGTGCACGGTAGTGGAGCCCTGAGCTTATCCTGGGGTGTAAGGTGCTGATGCTCAACATACTGCTTTTGAGTATCTGCGTGGGGAGCAACATTGCCTCGATGGGATAATTGGTATACGGATTTTGGGAATTATATGGATCTTGTGGTTTAATTGACTATGCGCCTTCAGCACTATTGGTGGAGATGTGCGCTTTATAAATCTATATTATTATTATTATTGTTGTTTCATATAATATAAATAAAGGTAGGCGTAACACTCTTAAATGCTTATATAATAATCATTAAAGGAACGAAAATACAGTGTTAGAATAAAGGACGTAATAATACACGATGTATTATTACGTCAACGAATGTAGTCCTGTAAATAAATGAATAAAGAAATTGTGTAATAAAATGCCTCTGGCGGGATTCGAACCTGCGACCTCTTGCTGTCAAGGCGAGCGTCATAACCATTAGACCACGGAAACTTCATGGTTGAACAGATTCAAATACCACCAGATACACTCCATTACACATAATTACGGCTAGAAACATTATTTTTATTGCTATACATACTGTGTCTAGTCATACGGACATTTTACATTTACAATCCATTAATGTTCACACTTTTTTGACTGCCAAGGCCTATTTAAGAGCTTTTGGCATACGCCGTAGCATTCATCCACGCATAAGCCCTGAAGCTTACTAGGTACACCACTGAACTATGTTTCACCATTCACAAGGGGCGGTCGAGCATGCATAATTATGTGTATCAGTTCACAAAACTGACCTAAAATAGCGCCCTTTATAATTTCTGCCTATAACTGTATGAAAAAATAAATAGAAAACATAATTTCTCAGCCAGTAGGCCACCTAGGCCTACGATACCTGAAATACACGTTACATTTACCTTCCTTGTATGCAGGTCAAACAGTTGATATTTAAAAAGCTGACACTCTAGATGTATTGTTTGATTGGTATTTTAAAATGGAATATTGACTCGTCATCGCGCGTATTTGCAAAATATTTAAAAAAAAAAAAATTGTCGCGATGTACATTCGTCATTCCTGTATAAAATTAAGGCAGTATGGCATGACGTTGAGAGATCACTATAAGAACGCGATGCAGGAGAAGTGGATGTGTACTTACACAATAGCTAGCATACGCAAAACAATTTACTTATCGTAATTAGTTGTAACTTGTTTATCAGTTGATTATGTAATAGAAAACGGCGGTATCGCGGGGTTATAACTTTTGATGTTCGGTTCGAGATGTTTTCATGTAATTTCACTGCTTCCTGTTTTATCAATTGTAAATATTATTTACAGGCTCTTCAAATTTTAAATTACTATCAACAAGTACAATATCAATGACAAATCACAACAACTTTATTTCTTATTCGACCCCTTTCGGGGTATGAGAGAACATTATTTCTCATGTGAACATACAACAAAATAATCGGTCAGCTTACACTGCATGACTAATAAAGTTAACAATAACAATAATAAAGCTAAGTAAAAACAATAATTATTATAGCCAAACAAACACGATATCTTGTGAATAAATTGAGCAAGTTTTGACAGCTGTTTTTTGATCTGGTATTAAATAATTAGTGCACTGTATCTAGTGTAATGATATTTTTTAATACATTCTTAATTAGTGTAGGGCAAACAAATAAATAATGGAATTATTTCCGGTATTATTTTGATTACACAGAGTACAATTTGTAACTTGATCATCACACCAACAAAGATCAGATTCGAGATCACACTTAAAAGGATCTATGATTTTCACACTTTCTATTTGTGTTAACTTCGTGCAGCCATTCCTGTTTTGAGATATCACTCAATCGGAGATTAATATACCTACTATTTGCTATCAACTTTTTATTGAAGTTATCAAAGTTATCATAGTCATAGAGTGTCTTTATTTTACAATCCATTATGACATTTATAAACCCTTGTCGTGTAAAAAGCCTCGATCTGATCTAGTTTTTTGAATCCCCAGACTTCAAAACCATATACTAATTATAGGCAAAACAAGCTGGTCAAACAGTTCACACTGAATGCTTAACAGTAGACTTAATTGTTTAGCTTTAGTTATCACGCTACACATTGCTCTTGTTCAGTATTTTGAACCCTACCATGGAACCCTTGAAAAATTATAATTGTTGTTTTAACTCGTATTGACTGTGAGTTCTGAGTGACTTTCGGACATAATAATTGTATCATCTGCATACAATAGCACATATAGTCTGAGGAACTCTTCTACATCATCATCACTTAAGACATTATTAAATTCATTAGGTAAGTGATCCAAACTTTTATAATAACGACTAACAAAAAAATTCGAAGTCATTAAGATAAATAGCAAATAAAAGCGGAGATAAATTTTTCCTCGGTGCACTCCAACATTACATGAGAAAAATTCGGATATCACACAAATCTGTTTGACACATAACTTCGTGTTAGCAGACAAATTATAAAAGACATTAATGAATTTACCATTTATACCACATAATATTAGTTTACTCTATAAAGATAATCGGTCAACCAGGTCAAACACTAAGTTGTAATCGATAAAAGTGCGATACAACCGCTTATGTTTCTTTAAGTATAATTCAAGTATGGAACGGAGTACAAACATATTATCATTAGTGGAGTAGATGTCCCTAAATCCTACTTGCTCTTCACCAAGTATATCTACACCAACATTATATTCTATTGTTTACACTTTGGACATTTCCGGAATGTCACCCAATCTTACCAACTGACCAATTAGGGTCAGGAATACGAACGTGCTTACAAACACGACGTTGTCCAATAAACGCACGTGTTTTTGCATGTTTCACGTTGTCGTTTTGTTGAACCTTAGCCACAATATTTAAGTGCCGGAGCATAGCATTCTAATCTATGATGTGTTATGTTTTGCAAAATAATTCTATTTTCACGATTATATTAAACAAAATCACATTTTCAATTTACAAAAAAAACTTCAATTAAATCTACATTGAAATACATTCATTCAAACCGTTAGTATGTTGAATAAAATACATATTACTAAGAATAAAATTATCCATTTATCGCTTTAATGCATAAATAAATATAAAAAAGTAGGCCTATAAATTAATAGAAGAGGGCATATGTATATTTTATATTCCCCACAATTAACAAGAAAATTTCAAAATTTCAAATTACAGTACAAATAAATTAGTTTACACCATCGCCAATTAGTGAGGGAGGAAGAGCACAGTGAACAATAGATTTGATTATACAGTTTCCAGCACAAAATCTGCTCACAAAATTGTGTATATATTTTATCCAGTCTTCATAGCATGAAGGGATGTTATTGAATAAAGTTACAGGCTCCAACATAAAATAAATATTAGTAGTTCTTTTTTAATGACCCAAAGGTAATTATGACTAAGTATTTCTGATAGAGCCTCACTATACTAAAGTAATTTATATAGTCATAGAGGAACCGTTTACGCAATAATTATGTCCTAAACATTTAATTTCTGCGGAACACTTTGAAGATGTCCTACATAAAGCGTTAGCTCTGACTAAGAAAGTCCTATACTTTTGCCTAATACCAAAATCATCCAGTACAAATTACAAACACGAACCACTTTATGAGATCCAATAAAAATAATGAACGAATTTGTACTAAAATTACTACACACACAGTTTCATTTAGTCAAGACTTCATCGGTTTTTGAAGAATGATGATTGTTGCAACAAATACAAAGCATGCATTATCTAAGAAATTTAATAAACATTTCTGGAATGATCAAAGTTAGCGACTGACTAATAAGGACAAGGCAGATATACGTATATCCATGAACACGCGTACGATTAAATCTTTCAAATCCTAGCAACAGTATCCAAGGGAAAAGCCAATTTTAACCATTATACTGAAAGGCAACAAAATAGTCATTGTTACTGCAGGTATAATTGTGGCATTCTCCATCGTACTTAAAATACTTGCATCCTAGCGCCCTCATGCATTTCACAGCGCATCTAATGCAACTTCTTTTCGAGTTTTTGGTCGTTACAGAACATTGTGGATTGCGAAGAAAAGACTTGTAATAAGTGGAGCGTCCACCCAACTCTGAGCACACTGGACCTACACAAAACAAATTTACAGTGGTATAGTAA